GAGTTTCAAGGGGTACCTACTTTTGGGGTCCTTATATGAGTTTGGGGTTCTTAATAAGGATCCTACTATTTAGGGTGCTATACCAGGGTCCCCTATTTCGGAAACTCCCATTTGGAGCCTTAGGCAAAAAGGTGGCTTATGAGGGGTCAATGACATGGTGGTATAGGGTTGAGATTTATCCGGACATCGCAGGATATCACAACGGTTGTATAGGACGTTATCCGGGTCTTATCCGGTTTTACAAGGGTTGGATAGGGTTTTGTGAAGAGTTTGAAGAGGCTGATAGGATGCGATCAGGGATGTAGGTTTTGCGGCTTGGAGCTTCAAACGAGTTCAGGGAAGGTTTGACTGAAGGTGAGCAGAAACCACACAGCAGCAACAGATAGCCCTATATAGTAGTAATAAATGATCATAGTAATAATAATAATAGTAGTAATAACAATCATAGTAGTAATAACAATAATAGTAGTAATGTAGTAATTAGCCTTCAAAAGTCGATTCATAGCAACGTTTATAGCACGCGGGGTAACGTCAGCTGCGAGAGGCATGAAGGAAATCAGTAGCTATGTCAGCAGCAGTCGCAGAACCCAAGGTAGCAGTATTGGTTTTAACATGGCCGAAGTTAGCTTCAGGGGCTAGTATTGAGGGTTCGGCGCTACCATGCACCATTATGCAAGCAAGGAGCCCGCTCTGGTGAGGGTTTACGGTATACAGGGAACTCCAGAAAGTTGGAATATGGTTTCAGGATAGGATACCCTATAATTTACCATAAAGGTTTTAGGATAATCATATTCCAACTTTCTGGCTTCTACTGTAGGGTGTTCTCAATTTTCACGGCAGTTGCTGCTATTACTGCTGTTGTTTTTGTTGTTCCTGTTTGCACTTGTCTCGCTGTACCCTGCGTAGCCCTGAGAGCACACCATGCACATTATTCTGCCACACCCTTCCAGTCCTCTCACCGCTAGAAAGTTAGATCAGAGTAGCAGTACTCAAAACAATGCGTAGCATTGAGTCATGATGTTAGAGACATATGAACGGCAACACTTGGTTGGAAACTTGCAATAACACATCGCCACCGCCAACAGCAGACACTGTTGTACATGCATACAGCTAGGTATGTAGATAGAAAGGCAACCAAAGGAAAGCCGTGGAAGCCTTTCGGGGTGTAGGGCTCATGCAAGCCCTGCTGTTGTCATCTCCGTGTAAGAGAAGGCGGCCAAGGCCAGTATCCGATGCTGCCTATTGGTAAGACATGGGTATCAAGTAAGGAGGAATAAGAGACGCGAGCCAAGCCTGTAGTCCGTTCAAAGACCTCTTGTTCATCAGGAGCCGCGCACGCGCATCCTCCTCGTGGTCTGGGGGAGGACATTGCATCGGGATTTCCAGGTCTTGAGGTCCCTTGACGATGTGTTTAACGTTATCATGATCACGGAACATCACAGAAATCATCGGTATTGTAGGTACTATCACCGGCATGAGTAGCATGGAAGCCTGAATACCTACCAGTAATATTTCTATGGGTCCCTGGCTATGGTGATGCTATAAAGTAGCCTGAAATCCTATTCTAATTATCAAGGCCCCTACTTTCAGGTTCATGGGTAGTTATAAGTGGGGTTGTAAGTCCCCTATTACGGGTTATAAGTATAGTTACCCTACTTATAACCCTACTGATAACTACCCATGAACCTCCAAGTATGCTCTAAACCCTATACCCTTATAGAATCCCCATAGATCCCTTTAAAGGGACCCTTAAAGGAGCCCTTATAACTACCCATGAACCTCCAAGTACCTTCCTTGCGCAAGCCCGAACCCAGAGAGCCCAATACCCTTTAATTAAGAAATATAGCTTAAATCATAATATGAATACCCTTATAATTTAAGGTATATTCCTTAAATCAGGACTAGGACTAGGGTTCCTTTAAGGGTCCCGTTTAAAGGGATCTACGGGTTCTACAAGGGTATACTAGTATAGGGTCTAGGGTCTACTTTACCCAGACCCCCGGGAGGATCTGGAAAGTAGATCCCCTAATTTGGGACCCTATACTACTAAGGGTACTTTATAGGAACCCCCATTAAGGGATCTACTTTTTGGATCCTCCCGCGGTCTGGGAATATAGTATAACATGATAGAGTTCAGAACACTAACACAAGATAGTGTACTAGAGTAAATACATTATACTATGATATGATGTGATATAGTGTAATACAATATAACCTCACATGCTGTGATGTGAGCTTATTAACAGAATGTGTATGATCGCAGAGCTGTGATGCTTACAAGATTTGTTCTGAAGATATCTTGTTTGGGTCGCAGTCTCTGTTGATTCTCCCCGGAAAACTTCGGAATCACAGTGTAGATTTCGAGCTTGGGGTGCGGCAGCGAAGGTGCATTGGTAGTTAGTTATAAGTGGGTTATTAGCAGGATAACCATAAATATAACCCAGATTGGGGAATGGTTAACCCCACTTACCTCTGGCCATGAACCTCCAAGCGACCTCAACTTCTTCTCCTAAACCCTAAACCCCTAAACCCTAAACCCCAAAACCCTAAAGCCTAAACCCCTCAACCCCTAAACCCTAAAGAACCCCAGATCCTCGAAATCTAAACCCAAAGCTCTGAGGCCTGAGCCTATACCCTGAGACCCAAAACCCTAAAGGGAACTCCAGAAAGTTGGAATATGGATTACTGGTAGGATCCCCTATAATTTACCTTAAAGGGGTTACGATAATGATATTCCAACTTTCTGGCTTTACTGTACCCCCTGAACCCGAGAGTAGAATGGTTTACTATGGGGGCCTTGATAGTTACCCATACTATTTTGAGGGTTCCTTTACAGTAGAATGGGCCCCAAAACCTATTCTAATTATTAAGGCCCCTGTAGTACCTACACCACAGGCCCCACCCTAGTGGCTCATCCTGATTTAGGATTTCTTCCTCCGTAAAAGCAGTGGGAAGGAAAGAAAAATTGGCTGTATGCCACATCCCTAAACCCGTTCCCGAAGCTGCCAAAAAGTAGGTCCTGACCCCAAACCCTAAACCCCTCAACTTCAAACCCTAAGCCCCTAAACCCCGAACTGTTGATGATATAAATCCTGCACTACCTTAAAGACCCTAAACTATGGGAATTACGGTATATTCCTATGATGGGTAATGCAGGGTTTATATCATTAACCGAAGGACTCCTCGCCCGAAGCCCTAAACCCTATAGAAAGCCAAAAGCCTAAAAACCTTCAAACACCCATAAAACCTAAAATCGAAACTCCGAAAGCCCTCAACCAGACCTCAGAGTAACCTTAAGCCCCTAAACCCCGAAGGAATATCATAAACCTAAACCCTAAACCCTAGAACCCTATAGATCTCTTAAAGGAACCCCTGAAAGGAACCCTTATAGGTCCCATGAAACGAAGGACTCCTCGCCTGACTCCCTGGGCTTGCCCTACGAAGATGGCGGCTTTGACGACTGTGCGGAGTACAGCGGGGCAGCGGTCCCGGTTTCTATTCAGCGTTTGGTTTCCGTTGGCTTCTTGCAGTTCCTTTAAGGGCTTTTGGGTTTAGGGTTCCTTTAAGAGTTTACGGTTCAGGGTTTAGGGAGGGTTTAGGGTTTCAGGCTTAATGCAGTAGGTTTCCACAAGGTGTTTGCTCGAGTTGTTTAGGGTTTACGCCGCTGCCCTGATGATGGCCATGCCCAAAGCCCGTTTCTCAGTAAGTCAGGCCCCTACTTGGAGGTTCATGGGTAGTTATATGGGTTCCTTTAAGGTCCCTTTTAGAGGGATCTATAGGGATTCTATAGGGGTATAGGGTTAAGGGCCTACTTGGAGGTTCATGTGTAGTTGTAAGTAGGGTCGTACGTCCCCTAATACGGGTTATAAGTACAGTCACCCGACTCATAGCCGTACTTAGAACTACCCATGATCCTCCAAGTAGACACCCCAAAACCTGAACCCTTAACGCCTTGAGCGCTGGCTTTTGAATGCGGCAGACGTTCAGATGCCTATAGCAATCTCGAGAGCATGCGAATGCTCTAGTACTGTAGGGCCTGAATATCTATTGAGATTCTCTTTATACTCTTGAAATAAGCAAATATTATTATACCCTAAACCCTAAACCCATAAACCCTGAACTCTAAACTCTAGTGAGACCCCAAGGGCAGGAGCAGGCGGTCCTCTAGAACCTTGCATCCGGGCACTTACGGCTCTTTCGGGTCGCGCAGTCGCTTCAAGCAGACCCAAACCTGGGGTTTAGGGCTTAGAGTTTAGGGTTTAGGGCTTGGGGTTCAGGGTTTAGGGTCCTCCGCTTTTCAAAAGCCAAAGCATTCGCAAGGGCTCTTTGCAAGATTCCCAAAAGGGTCTCTTCAAGGGTTGCTTGAAGGATTCCTTTAAGGGTTCCTGCAAAGGTTCCTCTAAGGGTCCCGTCAAGGGTTGGGGTTTGGGGTTTGAGACCCGGCGGAGGTCCAGAAACCCTTAAAGCCAAACGACGTGCTCGCGACTTCAACAGGCTCCAAGCCTTCTGCCTGAGCGTAGCAAGCCAGTAGACGCAGCCAACAGCGCAAGGTCCGATGATCTCACGAAAATGTGTGGCTAACGCCGTGCTCCTCGCAACAGCTGTCGCCATTATGGTGGCTACCGCTTTGTACGGGGGAGGTGCGGCGGGGTTCTGGCAGCCATCCTGGTCCTGTTCAGGTGCAACAGCGCCCTACGACAAAGCTTCGATGCAACGCGCGGGCGGCAACGAGCCAGGTGGGAACTATTACCGCCCACTCTGGCGCGTCCTCAAGGAGCGGTTATCAATCAAGACAGTCCTGGACGTTGGTGCAGGACAAGGAGAGTCTGTTGGAGTGTTTCGTGAGGACATCAGCGTGCAGGCGATTGGCATAGATGGCAGCATCATGAATGCCTTGAATTCCGACGGGAAGGTGCTCTTCCATGATATGAAACTAGGGCCGTTTGTTCCCGGAAACATGTTCGACTTCTGCTGGTCATGCTTTGTGTTGGAGCATATCGATGAGCAGTTTTTTGCACAACGCGCTCAACACGTTCAAGTCCTGCCATTTTCTTGGTGTGGCCATCGGTATGAACGAGTATGGCCATCATCACGTGACGGTTCATCCCTGGGAGCCATGGTGGGATGAGGTTTTTTCACGCTTCGGCTTCGAGGTCGATTCAGAGTTGACAGCTTTAAGTCGCCAACCGGAGTATGGCACCGAGGAACGGCGAGGGCACACGTGGTGGAGCGGCGGTGCAAACAACCACGCCCCGGGAAAGATTTTGAAGAACGTGATGTTGGCAAATGACGCGGACCCAATAACCTACTACCAGCAGATCGACTGGACGCAGCGAGTGCCAGGGGTGAGGTAGAAGGCGACGCTCGGGACATGCGCAAAAGCTCCAGCATTTGGGTTTCATGGCTCAAGGTTTAGGGAGTCTTTGAATCGAGGCTTTCCATAGTGGGTGCGGGCTCCTCCGACAGGTACCCCATTGTCATAAACGTCACTTGATCTGCAAGTGACCCACCACCTGTTGTTGTCTAAACGTCATTTAATCTTGGTCCCTCTTGAGCCTCAAACTCCCTAAACCCGGAAAACCTCTGAACCCAGAACCCAAAACCCCCCAAACTTTCTGACCCCCCGCGAGGGTTGAGGTAAATTCAAGCGGTTAGCCCGCGCAAGTCCCAACACAGGAGGAGACCGCAGGCCCGCATAAACTCCAAATGGGAGTTTTCGAAAATTAGGGGTACCTTTAAAGGGATCCTTTGAAGGGCTACTATATAAGGGTACTACAAGGGTTCCTTTAAAGGGCTTTATAAGGGTTTGGGGTTTCCGACAATTAGGGGGTACCTTATTTGGGGTCCCTGTAATAAGGATCCTACTATTCGGGGTACTAAATTTGGGTGCCCCATTTTGGGAAACTCCCAAATCTGAACCTCAAACCCAGAAGAACGTCTAACGTAGGGGGTGTTAATCCCATTATACTCTAGTTTTAAATCGGAGCCACCCAAATAGTACTGGTACTAATTTAGGCCCCTACATTGAGTTTGAGACCTCAATTTCCTACATCCTCAACCGAGGCCGTGAACCATAAACCCCAAACACCCCTACCACTATGGGCTACTACACCCTAAAGATCCCTATTAGGACCCTATTAAGGGTAGATTGAGGTACCCTTAAGGTCTAATAGCCCATAGTGGTAAGTCCACGACCTGAGGCGATGACCGCGGAGACTGAGCTCCTCGCCAACGGCCCCGCCACCAGTGCAGGCGGAACCGCGAAAGCGAGGCCACCCAAGCTTTAAACTCATAGGAGGCCAAAAGGGGTTTTAGCCTATGGGGGTTTAGTAGGGATTAGGGTTTGCATAATAGGGTTCGTATTAAGGAATCCCTACCCCAAGAATCTTAAGCCCCCCTTTTGGCCTACCATCATAAACGATTGTCATGCAAGGGGCTGTTGGATTTCCTACCTGGAGGGTCGGGGGACTTAGGAACTGGTTATTTTAGGGACTTATAAGTACCATAACCCCAATTAGGGTCTCTTTTGAGGTTCTTATAAGTCTATTTGCTACCTACATACTAAGTCCCCCGACCCTCCAAGTAAGGTCTTATACGATTTCGCGCAGGCTTCAGGGCTTCTTGGGGTTTAGGGTTGCATGTTTTTTTGGGGTGTGTTCCGGGTTTCTCCGGATCTTACATGCCGGTGTCATAGCGGTTTAGGGTATTTAGAAGGATCCTATGATATATATATATATATATATATGTATATATGTATACATATATATATATATATATATCCACTAAGTGCGACTCCCCCCTAAACCCCTAAGCCCGTAAACCCTGGGATTCCCATGCTTGGGGAGGTCGCAGAAGCCGGTTCGCCCGGCAAAGCCGCCAAAAGTTGCCGCGGAGCCCACCAAGGCTGCTCGGAGCTTCCTTACTTGGAGGTTCATGGGTAGTTCTAAGGGTTCCTTTAAGGCTCCCTTTTAAGGGGTCTATAGGGATTCTATAAGGGTTCCTTTAAGGGGTCCCTTCTAAAGGGATCTAGGGATTCTATAAGGGTATAGTAGTAGATGGTTTAGGGTCTATTTGCAGGTTCATGGGTATTTACAAGCAGGGTTACAGGGATTATGCTTGAGGGTTCCGGGGTAGCTATAAGTGAGTTAGAAGTAGGGTACCTATAACTACAACCCATATTGGTGTACTTATAACTCTTCTTATAACTCCCCATGAACCTCCGAGTAGCGCCCTGTACATGGATCTGCAGGGTTTCGTGCACATCATGGCGTTGTCGGCTCTTTATGCGCATAGGGCATTACAAGCTGTTTCGAAAGGTCATAGGGATCCTTAGGGGTGTAGGGGGGAGGGGTGTAGCGGACTATATTTCCTTAAATAGGACGTATTAGTCCTTATTATGGGCCTTAAGGCCCCCTACCCCCCCACCCCCCCTCCCCCTACACCCCTAAGGATCCCTATGAAAAGGTTAGTTTTTGAGAGTTGCAGCGCCCAACTTCTTCTCGAACGAAGGATGTTTGAGTGCTAAGTGCTAGAGGGCTCTCCGGGCACTCCTTCATGCATGGAGCCAGGGATGATTATAATCCCTACTAAATAAGGAGCTAAAGAGCCAATGGAACCCCAAAAGCACTGGTTAGCAAATCATATTATTAATATGGTTTTTCGAAAGATCCTCTACCCCTTAATCTACGCTCATATCGCTCGCGTTAGCGCCTGGCACAAACGTGTACGCAGACGATGACTTGAGTCATCTTGAGTCCTTGGGAGATTCATGTTCGCATGGAAGTATCTAGCGGATGTTCTTGCGGTTTCGTTTACCTATTTCCCGACAGGGCTCTATCATATTGTACTTCTGCATGCATACACGCCTATATCTTTACAAAGAGATTACGAAATTTGCATTTCCACCTTCAGTTTCACAATCAATCTAACCCCGCTGGCCGAACGAAGATATCAAACTGCATTTCGAAGGGCGAATCCGGATACTCTTGCAGAGGGAACTCTATACATTACCCTTTCCGCACACCTACGAAAAGCCCTGAAGTATATAAACCCTAAACCCTACACTCTAAAGCCCCTAGACCTGGACTGAAGCCTAAACCCTAAAACGGCGCTAAACCCCCAAACTTACCTTTGGTCAGTAGGGAATGGAGGAATGGGGTACAATTATAACTACATTTAGTACCATTCTTCCATTCCCTACTAACCAAAGCTAACAAAAAGCAGAAGACTTGCCTCGGTGTGAACTCTGACGCCAATAAACGCAAAGCCGCCAAAGCCCCCGGTAGCAAACCAGAGATACGCAGCCCCCGGAAAGGATCTAACGGTTTAGGGTTTAGGGTTTAGAAGGTAGATCCCCTAATTTGCGGCCCTATACTACTAAGGGTACTTTATAGGAGTCCCCATTCAGGGATCTACTTTTTGCATCCTGCCGGGGGTCTGGGTACCTGTCATTAACAGCCGTGGTTCAGTGTTTAGGGTGTGTAGTTGTGTAGTTTTTGCTTCAAGACCAACTCCACGATATCGTTCCTAATGTTTCTGGGTTCTGCTTTTATCCAGCATTCCGATAAAGCTTCTCAGTCTCACCGCCAATGCTCCTGCGTAAGTTCTAGATTTCAGAGCTAATTAAGCCAGTCTCAGTACGAAGATAGACAGAGATGGCAAAGCCAATCACAGCAGCGTATGAACAGCTGGGCCATGCGCTTCAACATCACACATTCCTGCAGGCTCCAGCATGTGCCGGCTACGCTCCACCGGTGCGGTTTGAGCTTAGGGTCCACGGGAATTTGTGGTGTCAGAGACTTAAGCTGGCGATTGAGATTCATTCGTGGCTCTGCCGTAGATGAAGCCCTCAATAAGTGAGGCTTCACAGCAAGACAATTCAGATGCCACATCTTTGGCCGGCTAATCCTAGCTCCGAACTTTCTGCGGGTCGCGATGTAACGTTTTGGATCGGTCGGACGGGCCAGTATCTGGGGCTTTAATGCTTACAGGGCCCGAAACTAAGTCTCGATGCAGTCGGAATCCTCCAAGAAGCGGACCCCTTCTCTTACCGTTGGTTAGTAGGGAATGGAAGAATGGTAGGAATAGTAGTTATAATTGTACCCCATTCCTCCATTCCCTACTAACCAAAGGTAAGTTTTCTCATGGAAACAGGCGACTTGAGCTTCCGAAGACCCGGGTTCTCCTGCAGTGCGCTAAGCTCCTCTGTGGTTTTGGGGCCCCTTTTTGCCTTTGGTTAGTAGGGAATGGAGGAATGGGGTGCAACTATAACTACTATTACTACCATTTTTCCATTCCTTACCTAACCAACGGTAAGCCTTGTCACCCTTCCAGTAAGCGGCGAGTGGGAAGCCTAGCATAGGCGGTTCTGCCTGGAGGGTCGGGGGACTTAGTAAGTAGGTAGTCGGTAGACTTATCAGTACCCTAAAAGGGACCCTAATTGGAGTTATGGCATTTATAAGTCCCTAAAATAAGCAGTTACTAAGTCCCCCGACCCTGAAAGTATAGAAACCCCTATAGAGCCCTTAAACGAACCCTTAAAGGAACCCCTTAAAGGAACCCTTTCTAGAGACCCCTAGTTACCAAGTCCCCCGACTCTCCAAGTGTACTCGAGCCACAAATCCAGAGCCGGGCGTTCGTCGTTTTGAGTTCTAGAGTCGCAAATCCTTCCTACGACCTCTGGCGAAAGACCCCGCCTTTCAAGAAGCCCCCCCTGCATAGAAATTGTATAGCACTCTTTGAAACCCTAAACCCTAACCCCTAAACCCTGAACCCCTAAACCCTAAACCCTAAACCGTAGCCGGAAGCAGCAAGAAGGGAACCCTAAGTTTCAGAACCTTCCGCAAATCGGCAGGCCCCTGGCAAGAGGACTGGCAGCAAGCCGCCAGAGATTGAGGCAGACTTCTGCTGGACGTTCCGACGTTTGGTGTTCTTCACATTTGGAGGGTGTTATTCTTCACTGGGTTTGTGGAATCTTATCGGGTTCAAGAAGCGTCGTTTGATGTATCCTTCCTGCAGGCTTTAAGACTTGTTTGATTTCAGAGCTGCTGGTGTCATCTCCTTCTGCTTGCTTGGCTCTTGTCAGGGGCTGGGCTCAAGGATAGGCAATCCCTTGAGGTGGAAGTCAAACTCCCCGTAAGCCCAGACGTTTAGTTCTCTAAATTAGGGTCCTCTTTGCCATACGACTCTGGAAGGTATCCCAAAATCCTCTGAACAGGAAACCTTAAAGGAAGCCTGCTATCGCAGTATATGATCTGATGGGAAGCCCCGCGTGGCAGGATTTCAGCAAGACGACCACTCCTTTACCCGAAGGGGCCCTCCGAATGCTGGGCGAGGCGGGGGATTCAGTAAGTAT